TGCAAGTCCCAGGAGGGGCCCTTGAATTAGAAAAAGGTGCACCAGAGGGGGATCAACAATAATTACCCCTGGAAAAAGACTCAACATGCGCATCATCAAGAGCATCATCACCCGCATCAGCATCGTCAGCAGGATAATCCCCATCATCAGTACCACCACCATCAACATCAGCAGAAGCATTAGCAGCAGCATCATCATGATCATCAGCATTACCATCAGAGTCACAATCATCATCACACACCCCCACCACACCACATCCACCACCATCAGCACCAGCATTATCAGCATCATCATCACCAGCAGGATGATCACCAGCATCACCATCACCAACAGCATCACCATCACCATCAACAACCGCCTGGCCAACATGATCCCTTCAAACCCTCTTCACTCCGCTCTTCCTGCCAATCATCCCTCATCTTTCCTCCCTCCTCCTACGCCTATGCACTGGTCCTTCAACCGAACCCCGTCCCCTTCTCCCCCCCTCCACCCTCCTCCTCCTCCTCCTCCTCCTCCTCATCATCATCATCGTCATCATCATCATCATCATCATCATCATCATCATCATCATCATCATCATCATCATCATCATCATCATCAGCAGCAGCAGCAGCAGCAGCAGCACCGGCGGGAGCATCATCAGCATCACCATCCTCACCGCAACCACCATCACCATTGTCATCATCATCATCATCATCATCATCATCATCATCATCATCATCATCATCATCATCATCATCGTCGTCAACATCATTATCATCATCAGCATCATCATCATCATCATCAACGGTATCAGCATCATCGTCATCATTATCATTATCATCGTCGTACTAACCAGTATCATCCTCATCTAAATCACAACCATCATGGTCATCAAAATTAGCATCATCATCATGTTCGTCATCGTCATCACGATGGCAATCAACCTCATCATCATCAACATCATCATCATTGCGATCATCGCAATCATCATTAGAATCATAAGCATCATCATGATCACCATCATGCTCACAATCACCCTAGTCATGAGCATCACCACCACCATTCTTATCAGAAAAATCGCCACGCTCATCACCATCACCATCATCATCGTCGTCGATGTCGTCGTCCTCATGAGCACCGTCGTCATCATAATCATCATCATGGCCAGCATCAACATCGTCATAGTCAATATCATCAGCAGCATCATCACCATCGTCAGCATGGTCGGCATCATCATCGCCATCATCATCAACAGCATCATCAGTATTATCATGATGGTAATCATCATCATAAGCATCACGGCCAATCTCAAAATTACCAAGGGCATCATCACCATCACCATCATCCTCACCAGCATCGTCGTCATTATCGTCGCCGTCGCCATTATGACCATAAACTTCATCACCATCACCACCACCAACATCATCATCATCATCATCATCACCAGCATCATCACATCATTATCATCATCACCATCAACATGGCCATCGTCATCATCGTCGTAATCAAAATACTCGAGATCATCATGATCAGCAGCATGGTCATCGTCATCAAAATTCCGATCCTCATACTCATCATGGTCGTCGTCCGCATCACCACCATTATCACTATCCGCCGATGCGGCGTGCGAACTACAAGGAGCCTCAGCAAGAGCTTCAGCTCTGAGCCTAAGCAAGAGTTCAGCTCTGCTTGGGGGGGGGCGCCGGAGTGGCTCTACCGGGGCAGGGGGGGAGGGGGGGGGGGCGGTCCCCCATCTGGTGTTTTCTGAATGGTTTTGCATTCCCCTCAGATCTAGCCGCTACCGCCCCCAGGACTCTGGGGAGGGGGGGGAGGGGGGAGGGGGGGGGGCGGTACCCCATTTGCCGTTTTCTTTCTGATTTGCGCATCCCCAATATGTTTCGGGGGGTCCCAGGGACCCCCCTCAGATCTAGCCGCTAACGCCCCCAGGACCGCCCCCTCGGAACCCTCCCCGGACCCCCCCCCCGGGACCGTCCCAGAGTGCACGTCAGCTCCAAAAAGCGTCACCGACGACTCCCAAAGCGCCCTCCCTCCCAAACAGGGCACGTCAGCTCCAAAAAGCGTCCCCGACGACCCAAAGAGCGAAGGGATCAGCGGGAGGGAAAGGATAACGCGAACTAGGGAGAAGAAAAATACCCGAAGAATCGAAGAGGGAGGAAGCCACAGAGCCGCGGAAATCACCGAATCCGGAGCCCCCTGGATCGGCGGCACTGGCCGGAGCCCATTACAATCATCATCACCATCACCATCACCATCACCATCACCATCACCATCACCATCACCATCATCATCATCATCATCATCATCATCATCATCATCATCATCAATCAGCATCATCACATCATCATCATCAATCATCATCATCATCATCATCATCATCATCATCTCATCATCATCATCATCATCATCATCATCATCATCATCTCATCACTCATCATCATCATCATCATCATCATCATCATCATCAGCATCATCATCATCATCATCATCATCATCATCACATCTCATCATCATCATCATCATCATCATCATCATCATCATACATCATCATCATCATCACATCATCATCACATCATCATCATCATCATCATCATCAAATCATCATCATCATCATCCTCATCATCATCCATCATCATCATCATCATCAGCATCATCATCATCATCATCATCATCATCATCATCATTCATCATCAGCATCATCATCATTCATCAGTCAGCAGCATCATCATCATCATCATCATCATCATCATCATCTCATCATCTCTCATCATCATCATCATCATATCATCATCATCATCCATCACCATCACCATCACCATCACCATCACCATCACCATCACCATCATCATCACATCATCATCATCATCATCATCATCATCATCATCATCATCACCATCACCATCATCATCATCAGCATCAGCATCAGCATCGCATCAGCATCAGCATCAGCATCAGTATCAACATCATCATCATCATCATCCATCATCAGCATCATCATCATCATCATCATCATCATCATCATCATCATCATCATCATCATCATCATCATCATCATCATCATCATCACCATCACCATCATCATCACCATCACCATCACCATCGTCGTCACCATCGTCATCATCATCATCAGCAGCAGCAGCAGCATCATGATCCTCATCATCAGCATCAGCGTCAGCATCAGCATCGTCATCATGATCACCATCACCATCACCAACAGCATGATCGTCATTATCGTCGTTTTGCCGTCGCCATCAGGATCACCATCGTCACCCTCACAATCATCAGCATCGTCATCATCATAATCATTCATCATCATCATCATCATCACCATCACCATCATCATCATCATCATCATCATCATCATCATCATCATCATCATCATCACCATCATCGTCATCACGATGACTGTCCCCTGCCCCTTTCCCTCCACCTCCTCTTCCTCCCTCAGGCCAGGTGGGTGGAATGAGAAGAAGAAGGGGGAGAGGAGGGAGCGGGAGAGACGGAGGGGGCGAACAGCATCATTCCCCCCTCTTCCCTCCCCCTCCACCGCCCTCATCTCGGAGGACCAATTGGGAAGGCGACAACAATCACGCCTGGCAGAGATCCGCTTGAAGTCGGTCCCCAGCCCCATCCCGGGGGCCATCCTGGCGGTGTGTTCCAAAGCGGTTTCGGCCGTGGCGAATCGAAGCCTCGAGGAGGCCTCAAGAAGACGAAAAGCACCCAGGAGGACACCCGTCTCCGAGCGCCCTTTACCAGGTTTTCCTCCTCCGTCTCCTCCTCGCCCAACCCCCCTTCCTCCCTTCACAATCTCGACACTGCTGGGTCCTCTTCGGCCACGTTGAAGACAGAACAGAAAAAACGCCCCGCCTCGTGCAGCAGTCCTCCGGACCTCTGTTGGGCCCACCCCGACCCCTTTGTTCGAGGCGGATCCAGGCGCGGCGACGAGATGCTTCCAAGACCCCCCCTCCCGAATAAGAACAAGGCCGCGGGGGAGCGCCGTTGTCCTGACTGGCCCTCATCCGATCCCCCTCCTGGGCAGAGGGGGAAGAGGAGGAGGAGGAGGAGGAGGAGGAGGAAGAAGAACGCAAGAGCGATGTCCAAAGAGCGTTCCCAAACTGCTTTAGTCGGGGTTGGCCGGGCGACTTCCGAGAGTGCCTCCAGGAGCACGAGAGACATCACCTAATGGGCCTCCCGCTCTGCACGCGTGATCAAAATCAGGGCGATCATCTTAGAGCAGGGCAAGAGAAGGAGCGGGAGAGGAGGGGGTGGAAGCGTATCCTCCTCCTCATCCTCCTACTCCTGCACCTCTTCATCCTGACCCACCTCCTTCTCCTCCTCCTCTTCCTCCTCCAACCTCCTCCCTCCTCCCTCCTCCCTCCACCCTCCTCCCTCCGCCTCCTCCTCCTCCCTCCGCCCTCCTCCCCTCCTTCCTACTCCCTCCTCCCTCTTCCTCATGCTGCTCCTCCTCCTCCTCCTCCTCCTCCTCCTCCTCCTCCTCCTCCTCCTCCTCCTCCTCCCTCTCCTCCTCCTCCTCCTCCTCCTATCCTCCTATCCTCCTATCCTCCTATCCTCCTATCCTCCTATCCTCCTATCCTCCTATCCTCCTCCTCTCCTCCTCCTCCTCCTCCTCCTCCTCCTCCTCCTCCTCCTCCTCCTCCTCCTCTCTCCTCCTCCTTCGTTCCTCCGCCCTCCCCCTCCTCCTTCCTCCCTCCGCCCTCCTCCTCATCCTCCTCCCTCTCCTCCTCCTCCTCTCCTCCTCCTCCTCCTCCTCCTCCTCCTCCTCCTCCTCCTCCTCCTCCTCCTCCTCCTCCTCCTCCTGCTCGACCCCTCCTCCTCCTCCTCCTCCTCCTCCTCCTCCTCCTCCTCCTCCTCCTCCTCCCTCCTCCTCCTCCTCCTCCTCCTCCTCCTCCTCCTCCTCCTCCTCCTCCTCCTCGTGTCTTTCCTCGTCTTCCTCCTCCTCCCTCTCTCAAGCCTCCCCTACCTTTTCCAAAGGCCGTCTCCTGATCTCGCTCCCGCGCTTCGGCCGCCAGGCACCACGCCTTCGCGAACGAGGCCTTCTTGCCCGGCGGCGCGGCACCCTCATCCTCGGGGGGAGGGCAGAAGGGAGAGCGAGCGGGCAGGCGAGCTACCACTGCGGAGCAGCCTCCAGGCCGATCTGAGGCCAGGGCGGCCGAGGCCTTACCTCTACATCTGTTCCTGTTCCAAGGCCACGGGCCCGCAGCCCCCCGGACCCACCCTCCCCCCCCCAGACGGGATGGTCCTCAGGGCCGCGCGCTCCCCTCCCAGATGGGATGGGGGGAAAGGACAACGCCGCCGCCGCCGCCGACGACGACGACGACCTCCCGGTGCCTGAAGCACTGCACACCACGAGGGCTCCACAGCAGCACCACCCCACACCCACAGGGGGACAGGGGGGACCAATCGGGGGGGGATCCAATTAAAATTAGGGGGTCCGTGTCCTGGAGCATATGCCTATACGACCACCCTTCGGGTGATCGGGACACCACGGGACACCACGAGAAACTTGTCGATCTCACTATCGATCTCACTATCGATCTCACTCAACGGGACACCACGGGACACCATGGGCCACCACGGGACACCACGGGACACCTCTCGCTCTCACTATCGGGTTCACTATCGATCTCACTCAACGAAACCACGGGACACCACGGGACACCGCGGGACACCACATCAATCTCACTATCGATCTCACTCTCGATCTCACGATCGATCTCACTCAACGGGACACCACGGGACACCACGTGACACCACGGAACATCTGTCGATCTCACTATCGATCTCACTTTTCGGGACACCACGGGACACCGCGGGACACCACGGGGCACCACATCGATCTCGGTATCGATCTCCGTCTCGATTTCAGTATCGATCCCGCTCAACGGGACACCACGGGACACCACGGGACACCTGTCGATCTCACTATCGATCTCACTATCGATCTCACTTTTTGGGGACACCACGGGACACCGCGGGACACCTCGGGGCACGACATCGATCTCAGTATCGATCTAAGTATCGATCTCAGTATCGATCTCAAGATCGATCTCACGATCGATCTCACTCAAAGGGACACCACGGGACACCAAGGGACAACACGGGACACCGCGGGACACCGCGAGCGACCGCCAGAAGGGTGGGCGGGGGAGAATCATTTGTCTTGACTTCGCCCTAGCAACGGCGGACACCACGGGACACCGCGGGACACCGCGGGACACCGCAAGCCACCGCGGGACACCGCAAGTCACCGCCGCACAGGCGGGAGGGAGGGGGAGAATCATTTGTCTTGACTTCGCCCTAGCAACGGCGGGTTCATTCCTCTCGCGCGCCCACGTAGCTTCGCCTCGCCCGCACGCACGACACGAACGAAGCGAAACGATTTTCCCGGTTGGGGATCCCCGTTCCTCTGCGATCTCACCCCCCAACCTCCGATACTGTCGCGAGTGGGAAACATGCATGTGCGTGTCACGATGCAAGAGAAACGCATGCGTGAAATGTGGAGGAGGGAGGAGGGGAAATCCTTTCAGGGAGGGGGGGAAGGAGGAAAGGAGGGGAAAGGAGGAAGGAGGAAGGAGGGGAGGAGGGAAGGAGAAGGAGGGGAGAACACAACGAGGCCAACGAGCGACACCAGGGCAGGCCACGACAGCACCCGGCCCTGGCAGTACCAGACGTGAGATGCGGGACATTCGCCCCCCGCCCACTCGGAAGCCCTGCGGGCCGGGGAGGGGAGGGGTGGGGCGCGAGGAAAGACTCCTCCCTCCTCTCACTCCCTCCCTCCTCTCGCTCCCTCCCTCCCTCCTCCCTATACCCTCCTCTCACTCCCTCCCTCCCTCCCTCCTCCCCGCCCTGTCCTTCCCTCCCCTTCCTTCCTCCCAGCGAGGACGGGAAGGACAGGAGGTGGCGCGGAGGCGGAGAAACAGGAGGTGGGAGGAAGAGCAGCATGGGGGAGGAGAAGGAGGAGGAGAAGGCGGAGGAGGGGGAGGAGGAGGAAATGGAGAACGAGGAGGCCTGGACGGAGCTCCAGGCCAACAGCACCTCCAGCTCGCGCTGGCGACGCCGGACGAGGCCTTCCGCTACGACGCGGCGCCGAGGGCCTGCCGGGAGCAGCTGCTGAACCGCCCGCTGGGGCCAGAGGCCTGCGAGCCCCTGGCCTGCGGCGCACGTTCGGAGTCGAGGGGGAAAAAGGGCGACCACGAGGTGCGCCGCGACTTTGGCCTCCCAGGGCGCCTGCGCGAAGGCCGCCCACGAGGTGCGCCGCGACGTGGGCGCCACTTCGCGCTCGCGGACGCGCGGGACTCCCCCCCCGGAGCGCAGCGGCGCTGGCAGAGGCGCGCGCGCAAGACTGGCGCGAGGACGTGGAGTGGGCCACTGGACCCGCTGCCGCCTCCTGCTGCCACCGCCAGGATGCTCTCGTGGTGGTGAGCTCGCGCGGGGCGTCTGCGACCTGCTGCAACCACACGGGCGCCGGGGCCCGCTGCCAGGCGGCTGCCAGGCGCCCTTGACGAGGACGGCTGCCACGCGGCCACCTGCCAGCCGGCGTGAGGGGAGCAGGAAGAGGAGGCCGCGGGGATCTCCGCCGCAGGGTGTGGCCAAGAGGACACCGTCGGGCCCGGGCCCCCGAGGGCAATGCTGAGCAGCCGGAGGCCGTCGGGCCCACCCCTGCCGCTCGTGCTGCCGGGCACGGCGCGGCGCACACGGCGGTGCGTCACACAGGGGCGGTGCCCCGTGGACCGGGCCTCGAGGTGCGGAAACGCCGCCGCCGTCAACCTGGCAAAGGTGGAGGCCGCGGACACTCCGAAACCCGACTCGGAGATGGTGTCGGGGTGGGCACCTTACGCGAGACGCCAGGCCAGCCTGTGCATGCTCATCCGCAGCACGACCGCCTTTGACAGCTGCACGCTGGCCAACCTGGAGCATACCACTCGAATGCACATCGCGTGAGCCACGCTGGTGGCGCGCCCAATTGCCTCGTACTGGCGAGCAAAGAACCAGACGCTTGCAAAAGCTGCATTATGGTGACGGGCACTTAATTGCCCATGCTGTGACATCAACGCCTGGCGAATGGCAGCCATATCAACCACCCGCCTTTTAGGGCACTGGCGAAACTCTAGGCCATCGTGGGGTGGAGGGCGGCGGCACCAAAAGGAGCAGGAACATAGACAGGGGCAAAGGGCACAAAAAGGAATGGAAAACGAGAAGGAATTGGAGGGCGACGGGGGGGAGGTGGAGGCACAAGCGAAGGGCAGGCCCGCGACAGTTCCTCCACGCACTGCATCGACCCGAAGGACAGGCCCACCAGCGTGCTGTGTTTGGCGGCGAAGGCCAGGCCCAGGCTCCCTGGAGCGCGCGGGGAGGCAAATGGGAAAGGGACGGGGCGGCGACGGGGAAGGAAGGGAGGGGAGGAAGACTGGGATCATCATGCTCCTGGAATTATTACAATCTGGCTCTTATGGCCCCGTATCGCCAGACTTATGTACGCATCCTGGTCACCATCACACTCACAACCACAACCACAACTAACATCGCGGCCGTCAGCGACCACATGGATGGATGGTACGCTTGCCCGACTGCGAATGCGCGCGCTAGCGCAAGCGTGCCCGTTTCACGCAACACCGCGTGTCATGGCCATTCCCAAAAGCGCCATGATCATCGCCATCGACACGATTATCACCACGGCCTCGTCTAGACCACCATCACCATACCCCTCTCCTTGCTCCCGGCGTGCATCCGTGTTCCTACCCACCATCACGATTTCTTCTCCATCCCCTGTTTTCCAACGCGATACAACGCAACACCCCCGTCCGACAACACTGCTATGGAGCACGACACACGCAAGCAAATACGAATGATTGGAATGCGCACGCACACACAGATGAAACCGTCAACGCAACGATGCAGCAACATGTATATCAGGGCGTCGCCCGCATTCCAAGTGTTTGGAGAAATTGCGATGGGTGGACGACCCTGGACAGCAAAATAGCACAAATCCCAACACAAATGGCCCGGTGCAAAGGAATCAGCAGGCACCTCTCGAAGCTCGATGAAGGGATGTGCGGGAACGGCCATTTTCGCCGAGGCAGGCCAAAGAGAAACGGACTACAAAGCAAAAGCGAACCAACATTCAATCCTACACACATTGGCCCCCTTCCACGGGCTCGAGCAGGAACCGTGAGCCAAAATCACGTAAATCAGAATGACGTGGCAGCCGTTCTGGACTCTGCGAAAACTGCCTGCGGCTGCAGACAGGCACCCACCCATCACTCGCGCGCCCCTCATCATCAGGGCGGGAATGATGCCAACCGCGGCCAACCAGGAAACGCCAAGGTCCAAGCCTGCGGCAAATGCGCGCACGCATCGACAGTCGCGGGCGACGGGCCCGCCCCGCTGCCGCGCGCGCTGATAAGACTCCCCCCCCCGCACCTTCAACGACGCGCAAGATTGCACTCGCTCGGCCCCCTTGCCCGCTGCGCCTTCTGCCCTCGCCCTTCGAATAGTAGGCCGAGAGCGACGCGCGTCTTTGGGCGCAGAGCCCAGGGTGGAATCCGCATGGAGGCGTGCGCCTCGCAGGTCGATTCGCCCGCGGGCCCGGTGACTTGCGGGGCGAGGCGCGCGCGGCGCATCGGCGCGCGCGCAGCGTTGGGCTTCCACTACAACGCCAACACGGCGCTTCCTCATGGGGTTGAACAACGAAGTCTTTCCGTAGCCTCGCGGACACCGCCCCCTGGTTTGGGAGCGATCGCGCGGGGCGCCCCGAGCGCGACTGGCGCCCGACAGGCGATGGAGCGCGCCAAAGCCACCCGAAAGGCGCGCGCGCGCGAAAGTCGCCCGAAAGGTCAATCTAGAGCTGTAAAATCGTCGGCTTCTAAGACTTGGGTTTCGTCGTGGACCTGGATTTGGCGATCTCAAACAACTTATGGATGTGGGATTATGGAACTTGGCGCTGCGTCTGAAAAAAAAAAAAAAAAAAAAAAAAAAGAACTAAACAAAAAAAGGTTGGCGTCTCTAGATTGCGCGCGGCCTCGGACAATTTGCGCGGCGTTCTAGAGGTCGTTCCGCCGTTCTAGATATGTCTCGCTGCGATTCTTGAAAAGCCCGCGCGGCGCCCGCGGTCGGGCTTGCTGAGCCAATCAAAATTCGACGGGGGGCAGGCTTGATTGGAGCCTGGAGTGGCCTGTCACAGAAACGTGCGCTGCGCCCGCTCGGCGCGAGCTTGAGTCGGCGCGGGATGTCTCGAACGCGCCGCTGCTTCGACGTGTCCGCGACGGTCTCGCGGGGCGGACTGACGCGCGGCGGCAGGCCGGGCCAAATTGCATCGCGGATCCCACCGCGCACCCTCCACCCAGTGAACACGCCCAGATAACACATTCACCGGGGCCGAGACCAGCGAGGGGCTCGGGCGCTCAGGGCGACCCTGCGCCCGCAAATCTGCGCCCACGGTGAACGCACAATCGCGCGATAGAGCGCCCCATTCCCCGCCGCTCGGGCGCTCGAAAACGGGCGCCACATGGACTTGCGCAGCGGCTGTCTGGCAGGAAAATTTGCGCGCGGCCTCGGCCGACGACCGACGTCGACGACCAACCGCTGGGCCCGGCCAAGCCGCGCCAAGTTCCGCCGCGCCGCCCGCGCCGCGCGCCGCTGCGGAAGCCTGCGACTGGGGGCGCCTTATCCAGCTGTGGGACATCGAACAGATTGCAGCTTCCTTCGGCCCGGCATGGAGCTCCTCCCCGCCTGCGCCGGTCGCCGCGGCTTGCTTCTCGCGGGCCAGCCCCAGGGGCCGCTTGGATCTGCGGCGCGCCGCGGACCGGGGCGGCGCGGGGAACCGCCGCCCGCGAACCGCGCGCCGCGCGCCGCGGCCTGGGGGGCGCGCAAGTATCGCAGCTCTTTTTGGTTCCGATCACAATGAAGCCGCCTGGGCGCGGACAACTCCCGGCCGAGCCCACCGAGGCCCTCGGGGGCGCGCGCGCGCGACCGAGCCAAACAAAAAAAAAACACCCCGGAGATGCCCATAAGATTGCCCGCACATGTCCAGCCCCCCCCCCCGCTGCACTTTCAAATGCCCTGGAGACGACCCGAACAGTTCCCGAAGATGTTCCACTCCCCGGAGAATTCGCCGAAATTGAATGTTCCCGAACAGTCATTGTGAGATTTGTCGCGGGATTGCTGCGACGCAGTGACTTCCAAAGGAATTCCTCCGGCAGAAGGCGCGCCTGCACAAGACGCGCGAACGCGATTCATCGCAGGCCCACACCGACGCCATCGCCAGGGCGAGCGACAGCAAGTGCAGTTCGAAGACAAGGCATTCCGCGCCAGCGTCGTGGAGTCGTGGACACGGCACTGCGCCGCGACCCTGCGGCACCCACGTAAAATGCCTCAGCTCGGATTCGGCGCGACCCCTCGCGCTTCAACGCGCGCAAATCGCATGGCTGCCTCCCGCGCCGCCTCGGCAAAAAGGCGCCGGCGTCCCGGAGCGCCGCGACAATCGCGCGACCCCTCGAAGCGACCGAGCACGGCGCGCCAGACGCCGGGGCGGAGCCCGCCCAATTGACCGCCACGTCTAGACAGGAGACATTTCCGACGGAGATACCCTTCTAGAGAGAAAATAATCAATCGTCAAAGCTTTTTGCCTTAAGTCCCGCTTTTCGCGTTTTGCCTGTAAACAGTGCACCCCCCTCCCTTCCAGACCGCGTTGAGTTAAATGTCTGGGCGCCTGTGAAATAAATATCTAGGCGGCTGCGCCGGCGCGCCGGAATTCGACGGGCGCCGATCCGGCCGGCCCGCCGCGGGGCGGGCTCGTCAAGCAAAATTGGAGGGCAGCGCGACGCGCTGGAAGAAGACGAGGCCAGGCCTGAACGCCTCGGCTTTGCCATCAAAAAAAAAAAAAAAGCCCCTGGGCAGCCGTCCGGCAAGCCAGGGCGCACGCCATCAAAGCACATTCGTCGGGCGCGCGGGAGACGCCAAACACCCGCGGCGTGGGCCCGACAGGCAGGCGCGCAACTGCAACGAAAACCGCGTTCGCGCCCGCCCTGTCGATCTTCGATCGAACCGCCGCAGGACGGGGAAAAAAGAAACTGATAATGACCCCCGCCTAGGAAAATCCAGAAGGTCAAGGGCGGGGGGCCTCGAAATTCTGATGGGCCAATAAACGCCGGCTGAAGATGCCCCAAGAGACGTCGCAAATGTTTCGCCCCGCGGGGCCCAGGGCATCTCGACGCGCCGACCCAGCCCCATCCAGCGCGAACCAGATCGCCGACGGGCGCGCGGCAGACGTGAACCATCCACTCCGCGCACCCAGACGCAGGCCGTCTCCTTCGACAAGGCCTTGCGGCTGCCTACGGGGGGGGGGCAGGCGCCCCCTGCGCCGCGCGCGAGCCCGCGAGCTGCGATCGCCCGCCGAGCCGCCTCTGCGTCCGCGACCAGCGCGCCCTGCCAGGGCTTCGCGCCAATGCGCTTTCTGCGCCCGCCCATAGTCGGCACTGACTCGCATCTGGCCATCGCTCGGACGTCCATTCCCTGTTTGTCTTGCGGTTTCGCGCGCGGGTCTCTCGCCGAACGATCAAGGGCGCCCCTCGACGGTCCTCGCCGAAGGAAACGTGCACACGCCCGAGCGATGCCAAGACGCGGAGCCCTGGCGCCCCCCGGGTGCACGCCCGACAGGCCTCTCCGAGAACGCCGAGCTCCACGCGGCCGCGGCCGCGCCGGGGGGGCAGGCCGCACCTTGCAGGGGGGCGCGGCGCGCCCCCCTGCCCGAACCCAGCTCTCCGCCCCGAGGAGAAAAAGGGGGCGACCAACAAAAACAACATATATATATATATATATATATATACACTGAAAAGGGGGCAACCAAATTACGCTGCCGAGGAACCCCACATACTCATATTATGGCTGGAGTGATGATAGCTGAAGTGAAGCATGTAAGAATGATGTTGGTGGCCGTTGCCACCCCCTGCGCACCCCCTATTTTGTCCAGAAAGTGCCACGCCTGCTATGCCCTGGACGACCGTCGTGCATAGCGGCCGCGGTGAGGGACCACCCCCTGCGCACCCCCTATGGTGTCGAGAAAGTGCCACACCTGCTATGCCCTGGACGACCGTCGTGCATAGCGGCCGCGGTGAGGGACCAACCCCTGCGCACCCCCTATGGTGTCGAGAAAGTGCCACACCTGCTATGCCCTGGACGACCGTCTCGAATAGCGGCCGCGCTTGGGGACCACCCCCTGCGCACCCCCTATGGAATCGAGAAAGTGCCACGCCTACTATGCCCTGGACGACCGTCTCGGATAGCGGCCGCGCTCAGGGACCACCCCCTGCGCACCCCCTATGGAATCGAGAAAGTGCCAC